CTTCTAATGAACTTAAGAAGGTCTAGAGTATACTCCCAAAAAAGAAGCACCATCTAAGATAAATTAGGTTTGACTTAGTCTATAAGTCTCAAAGGTCCAGTATAATGTATGGGTACCTTGGGATTTTTTATTTTATATGGCTAGCCAATGCTAAGTCATTAGTAATCCATACAAAATAGCCCTATACTAAGGAAATAATCCTTTGGGCAAGGGTAAGCACTTGAAGGGTTTTCGACGTCAAAAATTGTGGTTAGCAAAATGGATCCTAAATAAATGTGGTGGACTTATAACAAAGTACTTCATATATAGGTGTTTTTAACTTAAAGTAATCAATAGGATATGGAAGAAATGATGCAATTCAAGTGAAAAACACTTGAAAAGAAATTAAAATTTTAATTGAATTTAATTGGAGAATTTAGGATTTGATTAGAGAGATGTAAACTTCGATTATAGTTTTAGAAATTTCAATTTAATTAGAAATTTAGGACCTAAATTTTATTTTATTTGTATATCTTAAATTGATTAAATTTTATAATCTATATAAGCTTAATAGAACCTACAAAGGTCAAAACCTACTAAAGCTAAGGTTAAAAGATTAAACACATGGATTCTTAGAGATAAGAAAAACTATGTTTAATAGGAACCAAACCATGAGCAGATCTCAAATACTTAATTCAACTTAAACTCATTAATCCATTATTGGTCCATTGAATCAATTATGCACAATAAATTCAAGAAACATAAAGAAGGATAGATCCATATTTGCCTAAATTGGGTCAAGCTCGATAAAGGGGGCTAGGAGACTTGATCCTTACCTAAATAGTTTAGTCTAAAGGAAGGAACCAGAGGGTTTGGTTTCCTTAAAAACTAAGTTTATGTTTATAAATGTTTAAGTCAGGTTATACTAGACCAATGGAATTTTAATAAATAAACTAGATAGGGGTCTAAAAAATGTTAATCTTACGAAGGTTTACTCTTCATGGTGTTGATCTACTAAATCAATGATATCATAGTAGAATCAACAAAACTAAGAAACTTTTATCTATGGTAGTCCAAGAAAGGCAAGTATATATAATAATAAATTCAACAAAATTAAGAAATTTAAATCTATGGGAGTTTGAGAAAGGTTGGTCTAGACCCTATTATATCATGTTGGGAAATAATGGCATAGTTTAGTCTATTAAATTTTAGGAAGAAAAAACTAATCTAGCTTTACAAACCTAAGCTACATAATAAAGTGATCCATAGAAACTAACCAAAACCCAAACATTAGATAAGAAGATGAAGGAAATCCTGACTGAGAAATAAGAAGACTTTCCATTTGGAAAAATTCTATTAGTTTTTAAAAATTTTAGATTCTTTAAAATCTTGCATGAGATTATCTCTCTCTCTCTCTCTCTCTCTCTCTCTCTCTCTCTCTCTCTCTTACATATCACCTCAAATAACTTACAAATTTTTTACTTGGTATCATAAGCATTCGTAAATGTCATTTTTTTGAAAAAATTGTGAAAAATATTGTAGTTCAGACATCATTGATAAATAGAATAAATCAAAACCTATCAACTACTTGTGGGTAAAATAAAATGTTCAATTAAAGTTTCATTTCAAATGTAAATTTTAGGACCCAATTTAAATATGGAATTATGAAACTAATGTAAGCATATGATAAAAAAATTATTTTATTAAATTATTCTTCTAAATATAAGCATACATAATGCTTCTTAAGGCAGCACCCATTGACAGGATGCATAATATGTTTATCCTTATAGTCAACTAATTGAATAGATTCACTTTGATAGATGTACTCTATTATTATTGATCCTTCCGATGTAAACTCAAGCTTGTCTTCTTCCTTGTAGTGAGCTAAAATAGACCTTTTAATTACCAATATCAAATCTCTGACTCAAAAGGTTCTAGAACAAACTAATTTGTCATGAGCTTTTTTCATATGTAACTTATAGAACTTAAAGATCCTATTAAGCTTGTAAATGCTTTACTTCATGAATATCAAGTTCTTTCAACTGGAGTTTGAAATTTTATTCTAAAGTGATTTGTGTATTGCTTAAACCCTTGATGAGGGAAGTTTTCCTATGCCACCCAATTTTACATCTAAGAAGTGGGCAAATGCGACAACCTCTAACGACCACATTATATCACCAATATGAAAGATATTAACATCATTATTTCACATGTATTTATTAATGCTTTCTATGAGTTCAAGAAACAGTGACCCATTATAACTCAATCTAAATATTAATAGAAGTTGTTTTAACTAAATTGGGCCTCTTGAATTTGCACTTCTTAATATTTTCATATAAAAAAACATATTCTTTTGATGATATGATTATGTGTAGAATGTCATTCATGACTTCTTGCATGGTGCAATAATTTTGATACTTTCAACAATTTAAATATCATGTTCAATCTTGATATTTTCTTCATTTTTTAAATAATAAAAATATTTTTTTCTAACTGATACATCACCAACTAAGATATCCAATCAAGCATAGATCTTGATACAAGTATTTAAATTGAAATATTTTTAGAATCAAGTTTAGAACCATCTAGACTCTAATTTCAACAAATATATAGCCAAAAAAATAATCTCGATAAGATGAATCTAACGAGCCCAAAATTACCAAACTCTAATACTATTAAGACACTTAAGTGTTCAAAAAAGTTCAAGCGATCAAGAGATAATTCTAAGATATCAAATGGAGTGTTTGTAATTTAGAAAAGATAACTGATATGTCATATAAAAAATTTATAAATAAGCTCTCATTCCACATATAAAGGGGATTGGAAGTTAGAAGGGCACACTAATTTAAATAATCTAGAACTTTGCGTGTTGATCAACAATGCCACCAATTGTTGTCACCCAATTATTATTATTAGCCAAACTATTATCATCTAATTGTCACCAACTAACAACCATCACTAGACCACCATTATAGAGCCATCCTATCAAGGCCATAATTTCCCAAATGTCAATCTCCAATTGTAAATTAACACTAACGAACATTATTACATGACCATATTAGCCGAGCGTTGATCAATATTTATGCCCCTCTTCTCTTACCATTTCTATCATATTTTTCATTATCCTCACCGGAGGCCAAGCCAACAATCCAAATATTATAACCCTGTCCTATCCATTTAGGGGTAATGATGGACTACTGTAATCCCCACTCACATAATGAGTCATTTCAACTGGTTCATACTTTATAATTTTCTCTTGCCGAATTTTTCACATAAAAACACACTTCTCTTGATACCATTTGTTATACATAATACTAATGAAATTTTAAATTTTTAATATAATATTCTTAGATGAGCATTGAAAGTTCTTGCCATCTATCCCTAATTTTAATCAACCATGATCAGTTTCAGTTTCACATAACACAACACAGATACACAATTAATGCTCTGATGATTTTAATTAACTCCCATTAAAATCCACCTTAAATAGGCATAAAATTTTGTGTTGCCAACTGAAGCATACAAAGTTATGTCCATTAAAGATGGATAACAATCAGAATTATTTAAATTCTTTGGACCTGAAAACTATGCCTAGACTTTATAGCAATTAAAATCAAATTAATAGTTATGGCTCCTGATTGAAAACAATAATAATAATAGGAAAAATAGAGAGACCACAATTGTTATTTAAAGAATCTATTTATTTTACATATATTTATATTATTATTATTATGACTCTATATATTTAATAGATTTTTTTTTCAAATTTTATAATTGTCATGTCTTTATATTTTTTTTCAAAAAAATTTATAATAAACTTACAATTTTATAGTCATAAATGTTATAAAATTGTAATACAATCAACTTTCAAATTTAAAATTTATTATTTTCTTTTTTGTATATTAAAGACTAGCTAATCAAAATTTGTTTTAATTTATTAAATATAATGTACCACTAATTTAAAAAAAAAAAACAGCCCTAATAACTTTGACATAATTTTTTCCATCTACTTCTCCCACTTATTAATTAATCCTCCTTCCCCATCAGTGAAGAAGACCATGAACAATCTCCATTCTTCATTGACTACCAATAATGAATGATATCAGTATCATTAATGACAATGGAAAGATTAGCTTCTGTCCTCTTTCGCAGCAGCACATACAAATAGAAAGAACGGGACCCCACATACCCTTCCCTGTCAAAAATATGAGTTGGCTTTGTCGGCCCCTGCTGTCGGCTCCGAAGCCGGTTAATGGGCTGGTCAGTAGACACAGAGCCTCGATTATTATTCATAGGCTCTGCGTGAGTACTATAACTCCTCCCCCTACTATCTTGTTCTTGTATTACTATTTATGGTTCCTCCACTTCAGTCCATCCTTAGATGGAATTCAAGAGTTGGCAGGTGTCAGGTTTTGGGAGGCCAAATTATTTTGTATGGAACGCTGCCTCCAGATCTTGGCCTGCACCCTAATAAATCTAATGAACTGTCACAGCTAGTTAACACAAGTAATTATTCTGTGCCGACGTCGAACGTCGTCTGGAGTCCAATGAAAATGCACCACATCACTTCGTACAAAGTACTGTAGCTTGATACCGCTCGGTACCAAGTGATGTGGTGCATTTTCATTGGGTTCCGGACTTTAGCTGTGTCCGCACATAATAATTAGAGAGGTATACCCACCATTGTTTAGTTTGGTTGATGGACAATTACGGTTGGAAACCCCCAACACGTGCTCGATTCCCCTCGAATGACCGCCCCTCTTAAGTGAGGCCTAATCAAGTGCGGGTCAAGAGGTTTATGGGGTGGATGCCTCTTCTAGATCAACTAATGATTAGTTACGCAGCCAAACGTCCTTTCGAAGGTGGCAGTGGGCGGATGCCCTTTCGGGGGTGTTTTGGTTTGCCTAATTGCATAGAGAATGTGTTACTTGTTCACTAATTTCATATAATATAAATAATTTACTTTGCCTTGAAGAGAGTTTAATAACTTAATTATGCTTCTATTAGAGTAGAGATGATAATTGATGGGGCCTTCAATGAAGTAGGTAGCCTATTCAATGGCATAACTAATCAGAAGCATTCGATGATGAAAGCAAACACTAAGTCTTTCTCTAATATTCTGAAACATCTGAGGAAGGCTTATCACTACAATCAATAAAACAAAGCATCAGAAAAGAAAATGGAAGAAAAGAAACTCTCCTTGCAAACACGCAAAATATCCTTAGCATATGGCTTAATGACAGGAGCGATGAGAGTTCAGGAATGAATGGGCAGGCCCTGCAAATTCGGTAATGTAACTGAACGCAGCAGCTCCAAGGAAGAAACGAGTCCCAAGAAATGTGACAGGATTGTGTTAGCTGAGGCCTGCACAAATCAACAGTATTGCACTAATCAATTTCTATACCAACAAGGAATATACAGATTATATTTCTATCAAGGTGAGAATTCAAGGAAACAGTGAAATTATATTGATTGATGTAAGTTTTGTGCAGTTAAATTTACACAATTCTGAAGCGGATGACCAAAGAGTTTTTTTTTTTTTTTTTTTTTTTTGGTGGGGTGGGGGGGTATTAGGGGCATTGGCCAATTCATTAACAAAAATGAGGTTACAAGTGTGTAGCTAGTTACAAGTAAAAGAGCAAAAAAAAGCCATGAGAGCAGCCATAAAAAATGAGCCATGCTCGATCACAAAGAGAGCAAAACCCAATATCCGAGACATAAGTTTCGTTTGGGACAGCTTTTGTATTGCTTTTTAAAACGGCTTTCTAGTATAAACATTTCAAATTCAAAAAATTTTTGTACAAGAAAATTGCTTTAGAAAGCAAGAAGAAAGTCATCCCAAATGAAGTCATAGAAAACAAAAAGTAACAGTAGGCTAAAACCATAATGGTAAACATAGCAAAAAGTACAAGAATCCCAGAACGTCGAAGCCAGGACTCAGATAATTGTATCAAAATCTATCAACAACAAGAAGCAAGGGATGGTTCCCCTGGTTGCCAGAAAGGCCTTCCAAGGGGAAAAAAGGTCTGGAGATAAGAATTTATCCCCATCAACCCTGGCAAGCACAAATCCCCCCATTCCTCAAAAAAATATCAGAAAACCTTCATCACAGAAATGCCAGACAGTCCAAAAGAGAACGAAGTAGTAGAAGCAGCTAATTTGAAGAAAATCGAACCACCAGCTCCATCTTCAAAAAACATCCAAACAGTAGCCAACCACTAGAATTGCAGCTAACTAACATCATTGGAATTTAACCACATCACTAAAATTCTACCAATTCATCCACTTAGTGGCTTTGAGACAAACAACCCTTTTAATTTTGAGGGAAGTGGTGACAACACTAGCATATTTAGAACCAAACTTTCGATTATTTTTTTCTCTCCAAATATGATAGATTGTGCAACAAATAATCAAATAGCTGAAGCATTTATAGTCATGTAATGCAGAGTAATCTTTCACATAATCGATGATCTGTAGTAGGTTAGGCCTCAAAAAAAAGTTCTTAAAATCAGGAATAAGATAAAAAATGACAGCGTAAGAATAATCACACTCAAAAACAGATGTGTGGTGTTCTCGTGAGGGGCATTGCATAAAGAGCAGAAAGGTTTAACAGGAACAAATAAAGAATATCTCAGAGTAAAATGTTTGTGCCAAACACAATTATACCAAGGGCACAAATCAGTAGTGCTATAATAATCATCAAGAAAGTTTTTGAAAGCACCGGCATTGCCATTATAATCAATATTACCAAAATTCCAAAAGATACAGTTAGGGCGACTTCGTGAATTGGGATTACAGTAATAGCTTCGGCAAAATTATCATTGAGAGAGTTAGGTAAACACCAATTATCCCCAATAATAAGAGATGAAACAGTTGCATTGAGGGGGAATAGAGAGTAAAGAATGAATATCAGAGGATCCAACAAGGCATTGCCCATGGTACCAATAATCTCAGTAAAATGAAACTGGACTAGAATTTGAAATATAGAAACTGACTTTGCTAGACACCTTAGCAGCAGTAATGCAAATGTTCTTGTGGGCTCCGAAAATTCGGCCCCGGCCCCCCGCCGCGCAGTGATTGATTGTGCTTTTATTTGAGCGAGGGAGTTTTAACGAACTAAGTTCCGGGATAAATTTTGGAAGGCAGATAGGTTTGTAGATAAGACACTACCCAGAGATTTCGCCCTCATTTTGCGAGGACTTTATGATCTGAGTTCTGGTTTCCTATAGGCGCAAGCCCCTATAGTTACGATGTATACCATCGC